TCAAAATGGCTAACATAATTAGAGCTGGACATAAATGCTTGATACTCGGTTTATACTCGCTACTTAACTCGGTTTGGTTTAAAAAAATAAGTACTTGCTATAGTCAAGTCGAATAACAAATAATCGGATTTTATTACTCGCAAGTACAAGTCAAATATCAAGTTCATTTTTATTTTTAACTACTTAGCTTATTACTTAGTTTGTTATTTGATATCTTCTACTTATCCCATTATTTATTACTCCCTCCGTTTCAAAATATATGTCATTCTAGGCTTATTGTTTTTGTCACAAATTAAGTGTTCTTTTAAAGTTTCGAGGCAAAATTTATTAGTTTTATATAATATTCTATTTTTTTGTTGGTTGAAAAGTGGTACTTAGGTGTATAGGTAATTGTGTTTTTATCTTGGAAATATGTAAAACTAAATATTTTCTTAATCTGTGTGCAAAAACTTAGAATGACAAATAAAGTGAAACGGAGGGAGTATATATTACTTGGTTTATTAAATATTTGATATCCTTTTTATTAGTTAATTAAAATTTATGTATTACATTTTATTAGTAACCGTACAAAATTATTCGCTGCTAGCTTCCTCTTTGTTATTTCATAGGTACATGATCTTTAAAGATGAGTATTTGTTCACAGAATTAAGTATCAAATAATCTATGTAAATTACTTATAATTATAAAACAAATATCATATAATAAAATAAAATTAATTACTTGACTTTGTTTTTTTTAATGAACTAAAATACATTTTCCTAAATCATAGTAAAATAACTTGTTTATATCTTCACTTTCGTTAGTGCATCAACATAAGTTTTAAATTTATATAAACATCCTTAAAATTTTCTATTCTTTATATAATCTATTTTTTGAATTGACTAAAATATAAAAAAGAAACATCAAATAATTTACTATTAAGTTCTAATGAATCATCAAATAATTTACCAATACTTATCAGTTAAATTGTAAGTAATTTACAAGTAACAAGTAATAAAAAACAAATAACATGCAAGTTCGATAATTTTTTGCAAATACTTGAAACTGGAAGTACTCGTTTTTAACAAACCAAGTACAAGTCAAAAAATTTACTACTCGTACAAGCCAAACCGAGTACTAAGTATACCAAAAATACAAAATACTTATGTCCACCCCTAACCATAATATTTGTATTTTCCATTTAAAAAAGTCAACCTTATGAACTGAACGAAAGCACTAACTCCAGAGCCCTATTCTTTGGGTTAAAGAGTATCCTATCTTTGGAATTCATATTGATCCTGCGGTATGAGAAAGCAGAACAGCTACAACTTTCTAACACCGGGAAACATAAGTTACAACTAGTACTACAATCTAATAAATAAGTTGTCAAGAAAAAACTATTTAGTTAGTTCAATGAAATAACTTGCGTAAGTTACAATTAACTTGCGTCTTAAGAAAGCAATGAGCAAAGAGGCTTCATATTAAAGCATTTCTCCGTCACGTAGCTACGAATCCAAGGAGGGAAAAACAGCCATCAAGTAGTCACAACCTCAAAACCCACCGTTAGTAGCCGTGATAACATCTGTCTCACCACCCACCTCTGTGCAAACGCAATCTTTTTCACTGCCACTTCCACAACTGATACATTCCTTTTAGTTATCAAAAAGGAATTTATATAAAAAGCAGTATCTATAAATATTTTCGTTTTTAATAATAAAATTATTTAAAGGAATTTGTATAAAAAGGAAATATTTTTACTATTAGAATAAAATATTTTATATATTTGACACATGTGATTTAATAAAAAAAAAACATTTTCCTTGTATATAAATTCTAGTTTTATATTTTTTATCTTTATATTTTTAAAAAACTTAGGATATTAAAAATAAAATATCTTCTTTCTTAATAAAAATAAACTATATGATTATACCTTTTGATAATTATACAGCTTTTTATTTCGACAAAAACTATAAGCACAACTTTATGCAATTTTCTCTTTTCATATTATAGATTTTTAGTCTTAATACTATTTGAATGCCTCCAAAATCTCTATACATAAACATTTGATTCTCCTCAATCTAAACTATTAAAAAATCGACATAAATATAAATTATAAATCATCATTCATCGTTCATAGAAATTTTTTCTTATTCATAAAACAATTTTTTTTCTATTGTAAGAAAACTATTTACATGGCTTATATCAGAAAATTCATTGTTTAAATATATTGAAAAATCAAAATAAACATAATGATATTTTTAAATAAATCTCTTAAAGAAGTTGTTTTTATTGAGATGGGTTTCATGGACGATGAGAAAAAAAATCATATTTTTCTAATTTCTGCTAATCCTACAATTATAAAAAAAATCAAAATTGGAGAACAAATAAAACGTATTCATGCAACAATTAAAGGCAATGCCTTGGTTAAAAAGTTCAAGAAAACTGAAAAGGTGAATTAAAAATAATTAACACATTTAAAATCAACTTTTATATTGGTGATTTTATAATTTTAGAAATAAATATCATGACCAAGTTGAATATATTGCACAATAAATTATAATACAGCAACTAAACAACTTATAAAAATTTAAATATGATAACATATAAAATACACAAAAATATAACTAAAACTAATAAAATATCCTTAAAATATTATATTTTAGTACCGTAAAAATATTCATGTTCGCGCATGGAAGCGGGTGAGTCATCTAGTATTATATGAAACGCGTGACAGAATTTTATTTTCATTCTTTGTCTAATTCATTAGGATATTTTTGTTATCAGTTTCTTTGTTTTTCAATGAAGGTGGGGCTATTTTTTTACTGAATGCAAGTTTCTCCACAATGATAGAAATAACTTGAAAACACAGTATTTGGAAAATAAACTTAAAGAACAAAAACGAGTGAGAGAAAAACACTAATAAGTAATAAGCTAAGCACAAAAAAAAAACAAATAAAAACGAATTATTAGTGATGGGGGAGGGGTCTGAAGGAGTCATGTAGCCACTTGATGAGGCGGTCGACAATGGCGGATGTATTAAGGGCAATGGGGTGTCACATGACACCCCTTAAATCTATATAAAAAAAAAATTTACATGTAAAATCTTAAAGATTCCTTGATATTTATGGTAAAATATATGCTTTGACACCCCATTAACCCAAGTTCAAGACCTACATGACACCTGATTTTTTTTTAATTAAAATTTTGACACCCTATTAACTAATTCCTAGATCCGTCACTGGCGGTCGAAAGGTGACAATTGCATCTTCTTCGGAACACTTCTGGATAGTGGTCGCACCACAACTCGAAGCTTAAGCCCAGCCTCACAATGACCAATCCTTGAGGTAATAAAATAGCGGATTCCTGGTTTTGTTAGGCTAATGAGATCTTGTCCCCCATTGTGCACGGCAACAGGAGAAGTAGTGTCGCAAGATTTGAACTCAAGATCACTGCTGATTTCTAGGACATCATCGACTTGGTCGTTGTAGTAGAAAAGAAGATTGTCTCCCACGTGAAACTGTTTCTCCTCACTCCACTTGGAATAGAAGTCACTCTCTTCAGGAACCTTCCATTCGTTGGAGTCACCAACCTTGTAATCTTTTCCAAATGGAAGGATCTTTCTCGGTGGGGGAGGAATCGTCGGATGGTCATGGACGACAAAAACGACGAGTTTCTGTCCGGCTACGCATTGAGAATGATTTGAGGTGATGAAGAAGTGATAACCTGGTTCCGTGAGAGTCACGACATCGTGCCCTTTGTTGTAAACAGCTTTAGGAGAATGAGAGTTGCAAAATTGGTATTCCAAACGACTGTTAACTTGAGTGACGTCGTTGACGTTGCCATCGTATTCGAACATCAGAGAATCTCCCACTTGGAATTCCTTACGCTTAGCCCATTCATAATAGGTACCTCCCTTCTTCGCTCTCCATCCCTCCGAGTCTCCCACTTTGTATATTTTTGCCGAGCAAAAGCATCCCATTAGAAGCATCACGAGCACGAAGCAGAACATTCTTGTTGTCGCCATAGTAATTAATAGGAAGCAGAGAACGTTGATGAGTATGTTGAGTATGAGAAAACAAGACCTCCCTAACTCGCTTTTTATAACACTTATGGAACCTAATCCTTGCTGCTTATGGATTTTACTATAATCCCGTTTGTGATATGTATGTTTTCTGTTTCCTTTTTCAAAAATCTCTCGAATCCTTTTCTAAGTAGGCTTGTGTTTGATTTTCATTAAGCTAAGTTTATTATTCTAATAACTGTTTTAGAATAGATTTCCTTTCTTTTTTGCCTTTTCAAATTAGATTCCTAAACTCTTGCAAATACAAATTTAGTATCAAGCTTTTGTGCAGACGCTGCAGCAATCAAGAGGTTTTGAAACTGAGTTTAGGTTTGACTCAACTGTGCCTTCTGGACCTATCCCTTTGCCACTTCTGCTGCTGCTGATGATCTTTACAGTTAGATTATGATTCCTCAAAGAAATTGTTCTTTTCCAATATTAAGTTTCAAGTTTCCAATTTCTGAATGAGTGATGCCGAGAGTTATACAGAAAATTCCTTCAGGTTTGTTATCATCTCCTAGATTTAGATTGATCTGATTATTTCAATGTTATTTCATTCACATAGTCACTATACATTTTTATCATTTTTTTTCCTTTTAAGACCGTCTTTGTTATTGTATCGAGACGCTGCATCTGAAAGTAAATGTTATATTGTTCGTTTGTACACTATTGCATCAACATCTAGATGTATGCAAAATCTAAAATATTTGGGATGTAAAAAAAAAAGTAAAGTTTGGATGCAAAATTTGGGGGAATATGCTGATTGATATTAGAGAATAGATGATCAGACTACCATTATGCTTTCTTGGTTTTGTGTATACGGGAAAGAATCAAGCTGATGACTAGCAAAAAAGGCTTGGAATCAAAGTGTTTTTTCATTCTATTGTTATACCGCCAAAATGGCTAACTAAATATTTTGTATCTTCCATTTACAATCTGATAAATAAGTTGACAATAAAAACTACTTAGTTAGTTCAATGAAATAATTTGCGTAAAGTCTTATGAAATCAATGAGCAATAAGCCTTCATTGAAGCATTTCTCCGTCACGTTGCTACGAATCCAAGGAGGGAAAAACAGCCACCAAGTGGTCACAATCACAAAACCCACCGTTAGCAGCCGTGATAACATCTGTCTCACCACCAACCTCTGTGCAAACGCAGTCCTTTTCACCGCCACTTCCACAACTGTGCAAACTCCATGTAGCACAAAGAACAAAGTGAGTTCCCCTGTAGGCATCTCACCGGTTATATAGAAGAACAGCACTTCGTGGAACACACCAGAGACTATGAAAGTGGCCAAAACACTAATAAACATTGCAGAATCATCAGAACACATTAGGCGTTGGCAGACACGCCGCACAGGAGTGTAGACGCCTGCCCGGAGACTTGAAGAGACTAGGAGGTTCCACCGGCTTCCCCAGAAGTCTTGAAGAGACGTGGCTAAGTATGGTTGCTTAAAATGTGGCTCTAGGTTGCATTTAAGAATGATAGTCAACAAAATTCTGAAGAGCGTTAGGGAGACCTCAAGTAAAACATATAGAAACGGTGGATAGAGACCCAATAGCAGAATGGTAGGAAGCGTTTTGAAGTAATAGAAATGTAACAATGCACCAAGGAGTGCAACTTTAAATGCGAACATCCATGTGAGGAAAAGATCTTGAGGTTTAGGGTTCTTTTGACGCTGGATGGGGAAACAAGTGAAGCAGGTGAATAAGAAGATATTTGAGGGTAGTGGAAAAAGAGGACCTTGATCAAAGGAAAAGAGGATGAGTTTATGATCGGCAAGTATTAGCAAAATCGATGCAGGGGAAGAGAAAAGTGGAAAAGAGAAGAACAGAGGAAGAACAAGAAACAGAACACATACAGGGAGAATAGAGACTAAACGGAAAATACCAGATTTGATTCTAGGTGGCAAGAAGTAACAATAAGATACCGACATTATTGTTGTAATCCCTACTTTCACCAAGCTATTCAGTTCTTCCTCCATACCTCAGTTTTTTTTTTTTTTTTTTTTTTTTTGGGGTTTT